CCCCAAAACCCCAAAACCCCAAAACCCCAAAACCCCTTTATAAAATAAAATTTTTGAAACATTGTGAAATGCTAATTAACTCAAAATGATTAAGTGGAGGGACTTGAGAAGGCCTCAGTTTAAGAATAGTCAAAGACTTCAAAAACAGAAGAGTGAACCCGAATAGGACTTACCTGAATGCTGAATCTAACCCGGACCATTTGTTTGACCAAGTGGGGATTTCGAGAGTAATAACTAGTTGTATTTGGATGTTGTTTGAAAAAATGAATTACTTTTTGCTTGAAAAAGGATTAGGTGCTTCTTTACAAATTACACTAAAGCTTTGAGATAGCTTAATTATGACAATGAACCTCTAGAGGATTTATTTATGTAAAAGTTCACTTTAAACATAAATTCTTGATTATTATTCACCTTCTGGCTTTTCGAAGAACCTCGCAGCTTGCTTTAACAACAATATTTAATAAAATGTCTAATTAATTGATATAGAAGATTCATAAAAGAGGATTAAGCAAACCAAAAGGTTAGTTATTTCTAGCTAGAAAATATGATGACTTCTTAGTCAGACTCCTTAATCTGGAAAATCTCAAGAGCAATTTCCAGTACGAGGAAATATTAGGAAATAATTTGGTCAGAGGCTTCAACCATTTTTGAACATTCTTCAATTATTGTTATTATAGGACCTTTTACAGCAGCAAGAAAGCATTTGATTCAAAGCAAGAGGTTATTTTCAAAGACCCAGTTAAGAGCAAAGATCAATGATACAATAAGAAATCCTATAATTAAGACCTCAGGTTTTTCAAATGAAAGTAGTAGTATTGCTAGTGGGAGGACTCGTAACATCAAAAATTTTAACAGTGGTCCTCAAAATTCAGCAAATAGGATAAGAAATGCTTCAAATTTTAATTCTATTGATCCTCCTCAAAGAGTCTCTCCATTTAGCAAGTATAGTCCTCCTGTTGGGATAAATGTAAGCTAAAAGCTGATTAAACTTTAGAAAACTGCTAATGAATTTCCGGTTAGCCCAGCTCCATTGCAGAACAGTTTCACTACCCAAAATTCACGAAGAATAAACTTCCAAAACTCTAAATTAAGAAGCAACCTATTGCACACCAATTTTAAAGCTTCAATAATGGAAAGACGCGAACAATTGGATCCTAATAGAGAGGCGTTACAGAAGCATTTTATGGAGATGTGTGATGTTAAGGGATCTAAACTGTACAACTACAGCTTATCTAGACAAACCTTCCGTGATTACATGCTAAAACGATACTGAACAAATGTTACAGAAAGAGTCATCTTCCTTATGCAACTCCCAAAGCGGGTGAAATACGAAAAATATGTTGAATGATGCAATAACCTGATCAAGATGAGCCACTACGAGAAGCTAAAGCTCAGCTTTGGCTTCTTCGACCATGACTTTGATGATAAGATCTCTGTAACAGATGGTCTGCTCATGATGAGGTATTTAAGAATTTCTGTTCTAAGATTCCTTAATTTTCATTAAAGCTAATATTTTAGACATCTTACAGACACTGAGTACTTAATGCAAGAAGACCTGAGAGTACTAGTCAAAGGGTTACTGGACAAACAGAAATTTCATAAGAAGCTTACCAGGAGAGATATCCATGTTATTCCTGAATTTAATGATCCTAAGAAAAGAATTATTGATAAGAAAATTTCAGTTGCTAGTGAAGAGAAAAACAACAGAAAAATGCATGAACATCTTGGATTTTTTAAGGAGGAGAACATGAGGGAGAAGTTCAGAAGGTTAATGAAGAACTCCTCAAACTCCAGCATTAATCCAGCAGCCTCTCCTAGGAGGAAAGCTGAGGGATATTCAGGAATTTTATCAAGGAATTCTTCATTCCACGAAGATGATAATCATGAATGGAATTCGGATGAGTAAGAATTTAAATTTAATCTGCAAATAGCTCATTTTTCTCTGATACAGAGACTAATACCCAAACTGTTGGTCCACTTCTTGAAGAACTAAGCTCGACCAAAACGAATGATGCTGTAAGAATTATAGGTCATATTTAGGCCTACATGAGAAATAAACCTCATAAAAAGAACAAGCATAATTTAAGAGTTGAAGATATTTGAGATACTTTCTCGAAAAAGACGAACAAACGCGCAAACTTTTATCGATCAATGGAACGGTAATATTTGAGTAAACTATTTTTAGATATTGTCAGAAATAAATACCTGTTCCATGATCATGACTACTTGGAATTCAAAGATTATATGAAGCTGAAGTTTAGCTGCCCAGCTCCTTTAGATTCATCCAGCTTCGTGTCAACAGTATCCAAGTTTCACTTTATGGTAACCATATTTTCTCATTATTGTAGGAAGACAGAAAGAAAAATATGCAAAAAGTTAAAACTGTTTACCCATCAATCCTCTATGATGTCTACTATTATGTATGCTTATACGAGTTTGAAGACATCAAGATTATAAACCCCGATTACTACACTCTTATTCGCAAACAGATTGCAAAGCTTCCAATGATTGATGATCAGGAGCTTATCAAGAAGCGGAGTGAGGTAGATTATCTTTACAACGATGCTAGGCTCAAAGAGGTAAGCTTCATAACCCCAATTATAGCTAATCAATGATCTAACAAATACTCACGGAATGGTCAAGAAAATTAATATAGACCACCTACTTAATAAATAATTCAAATTCACGAGTTCCATATGGGGTTTTGGGGTTTTGGGGTTTTGGGGTTTTGGGGTTTTGGGG